TATGAAACGATTTCACAAGAAGACACCTTTGGAGATTTTTAAGAGATAGATGGTTAGATTTAATTCCTAATGGTGTACAAACTGTTGTATTTGCAATATATTGAATGATAACAATTAGATATTTAATCAAAACAGAAGCAATAAAAATCTTGGAATGTTTTCCAAATTCATCATTCGCTTCAATGGCACACTTCTCCCAGACACCGAATCTTTAACAGGTTTTGAACTTACAATGAATGCTACAACACCTTTTTCCCTTATCTTTTTGCTTGATTCTAGTACCTTAATACTTTTAGAGTTTATAATAAATGATACACCTCATATTTCTTCTTCTTTTCTTTCTTTTGCAACGGCAGGTCATTGGTGCCTTTCTAGTTACCAGGTTCTGTCTTCGTGCCTGTCTAGTCCCTCCAAGGAAACACAGCTGTTGAGAACTGTCATCGAATGGGGGTCAAAGTTGCGATAGAGAGGAAAAGGATACCTTATCACATCATCCTCATCCTCGTATCCCACAGCGAAAAGATCCTAAATAGCCACCTGAAAACAAGGCTAAACTTAAATCTTGTTCATATTTTTTTACACCTTTTAGACTGCGCTCAACTGACCAACTGTACCACGGAAAGAGGAGCCTGTCGCCAAAACTGCTTGACTGGAGAATCAGTAATTACAAATGGATGTTCGGGCTTCAACTGCAAGTGTTGTAGTCCAGCTGATGCAACGTGCCCGGCCACACCTGCCACCTGCAAGGGAATGTGTAAGGACATTCGACGGTGCGCTGCAGCTGACCGCATTGCCAATTCAACATGCACCGGAGAATTCTGTACTTGCTGCATAAGTAAGTTACAAACTGGCATCTTTATCATTTGGCTTTACCCCTGTCTTTAGGTTCTCCAGTACCTGTGTTGTTTATATATCATCGCTTAACTGAATAACTCGAGAATATAGCTAAAATGTCAAGGATCTGAGATTATCTAAAATTCCTGCCATATGGCATGCGAGTTGAGCTTTGTAACAATACATATACATAGTTTCCAAACAGTATTCGCAGGGTAACAGTGCAATGCAATCCAAATGGCTGTTGTTTTAAATTCATTTTATATTTACTCGCTAGCAATAATTCCCATCACAAAGGAGACAAAATCATCTGAAGTATTCCTGAGTTTACTTTTAAAAAATGTATTACCACAATCCTGAAGGGAACCGTCTACCTATATATTGCCATATGGAATCGTGAATTTTGGTTCATCTTTCGAAAAATGAATCATTATTATATACTATTATAAAGAAAACTAGAAAAGCACTCAGAGAGTGCAGACCTCCGCCGAGGTGCGTATATAATGTACTTACACCGCTGCTGCGTCCAGACGGTAATTAGGAGTCACTAAAATTTAATCAGTTCCAAGTTAGTCCCTTTCTGACTTGTCCCCAAAATTTCGATGAAATCCGGCCAGCACTTTTTGAGCTACGCTGCTAACAAACAAACAAACCAACGCCGTCAAAAACATAATCTCCTTGGCGGAGGTAACAATAACAATAAAATGGGAGATAGTGAAATGTAGCACACGTTTACCGTAGATTTGTGTACCGAACTTGGATAGTAAATTTATTGATTAAATAATGATAATAATAATAATAACCAGATGGTAATTCGGAATGTCACCAAAATTTAATCAGTTCTAAGTTAGTCCCTTTCTGACTTGTCCCCAAAAATTCGATGAAATCCAGCCAGCACTTTTTGAGCTACGATGCTAACAAACAAACCAACAAACCAACGCCGTCAAAAACATAACCTCCTAAGCGGAGGTAATAAATCTAGTGTCATGGTATGAGGTATGAGGTGAGTTACCTAAAAACACCAATAAATCAAACTACCCGCAAGAATGTTCACAGATCTTGCTGGAAAAAAAATATTGTTTCATTCAGAGTGCGACGTTCTATACGGTATTTTTCTTTTGGCAATTACTGTTAGAGTGAGTGCATCTGCTAATAATAATGCATGTAATAAGTGGGCTGTTGTATCCCCGTTAATTTGTGTCTGTGGTAATTTTCATATAACTGAAGAAAGCCTTTAGATAAAGGAAATTGCTTTTAAAGGTGTCTTAGTTTTCGCGTCAGACTTGGATAACAAAATACATATATACCCAAACATACAGACTAGGTATGTAATCCTAGATATGAAATCATACATAACAATACTCACTGTGCTTTCTCTTTGTGATATGCATAGGATAACCCTTGCCCTGTATATACATGTCCATTGATAAAATTATTTCAAGTAGTAAAACATGTCATTTTCAAATCTCTTTACGCAGAGAAGCATCAGCCATTGAAGAAAATTTTACTTCTTTTGCATATTTCAGACTGCACTAAGCAAGCCAACTGCACCGCGGAAAGAGGAGAATGTCGCCAGAACTGCTTGGCTGGAGAATCAGAAATTACGAATGGATGTTTGGGCTTCAATTGCAAGTGTTGTAGTCCAGCTAATGCAACGTGCCCGGCC